TTTCTAACTTGTTAACTCTAATTTATATATTTCTAACCATGAGATTGTGAGTTCGAATTGCTCCACCAACATGTTGTATTAAATATATATATTATTTATTTATTTATTTATTGAGATTGTTAAATTTATGATAKAAAAAATAAAATTTAGACAAAATTAAATTTTTTAAATTTAAAGTAGAGAAACTTAAATAATATTTCAACTTTAATCTTTTAGTTTGACTATACTAAGTTGGCTTATTTGCAGTGAGCCAGAGACTTGTTCAGATAGTTTTCAATACCACGATCGGTTTTTTTAATAAGAAAGTACTCTGTGGTTATTACCAACTAATCCAAAATTAGCATTGGTTACTGACTTGATTTATCCTCAAATAATAATAATAAATAAACTGACTTGATTTTGTTGTATTAATTTAAATTTAATTCAATATGAAAAAATACACGTATGCTTTATTGGTTATCAGATGCAATCACTGCTAAATTTCTAATAGTGTTCATATCTATTTAATCGATTAGTGACTAAGTATTATTATTAAATATGATTTTGTACCTTTCACTAGGGTTGTCGAAGTGGGGTCAGATCTCTACAAGCCATYGAGGAACTCCACGTAAGTTATAATGTTATATTATATTTATTATATTTTTTCCTCGTAAATTAGTTATTGTTTTTCTTTTTTTCGTAAATTTTTTTTTTCTACAAAGTGGGTAACATATATTTGGTTTATTTGAATGGTAGGAACATGAGATAGTAAATTAATTTTGTAGATCAATAAATTACACATATAATAAATGAGTTAAGATTTCTGTGAAATGTTTAATATCAATCATTGAAATAGTTTTTATGCAAGATTAAAACAAAATTAGTAGATTTTAGTACTGTATTCTAAATTTGAAAATTCAATGAGTAAACCCGATTAAATATTAAATTTTAGAGGTCAGTGTAGTATTACTAAAGTATTTAATCGATACCATGTAAATTTGTATTTTAAAATATATAGAAAATAATTAATTGAATACTTAAATTGAATTAACTATTGAATCGATAGTAAATTTAAGTTCATAGTTTAAATTTACCTTATCCTCTTATTCCATTTTCTCAAGAAAAATATATTGACTGTGATTTTAAGTTAAAAAGATATACAACATCAATGGGAGTATACTTCAACTAGGTTAAAAGATAGATTATTTACCCGATTGAGGTTCGAATTAAATTATTTTAATTATAATTTATTAACAACAAATCCATTATTTAGAGGAACAAACAAAATATATTAATTTTATAAAATTTGAGATTTCAGGATTACCAGCATTTGAAAGATCTGGGTGGAGGATATTTGACGTGGGTGGATAATGGATTTGCCGTGGCTAAACCAACAATCAAGACAACTGACTCAAAAGTAGCCAACCTTAAAGTTGAGCTATGATTTATCCATTACACAACATAGTAAATATATTTATGATTAGATACCTATCAAGACGTTGCCTACCACATGTATGAATGTATTATTCTAAAGAATTTCTGTCTTCCTGATGCATTTATATACCTGAATAACGTGGGCTAATTTATGGTAATATATATACGCATATATCTTGTGGGATAATTGAATTTATGGGGATAAAAAAATATTGTTTTTAAAAAAGAAAAAATTTGCTTAGTGTACCTAACAAAACAGCAATAACAATGGGATATATATATCTTCTCGGGATAATTGAATTTATGGTGGTTAAAAGACATTGTTTCTAAAAAAGTAAAAATTTGCTTAGTGTACCTAACAAAATAGTAACAACAACTGTATGTATGTATATATATCGTTGGGGTAATTAGATTTATGGTGGTTAAAAAGTAAAAATTTACTTAGTGTACCTAACAAAATAATAACAACCGGATGGATGTATATATATCATTGGAGTAATTGAATTTATGGTGGCTAATAAACATTGTTTCTAAAAAAAAGGTAAAAATATGCTTAGCGTACCTGACCAAAAAAAAAAAACAATAATAACAAATAAATAATAATAATAATAACTAGATGCCCAATATATAACCAAATATAAAGGGTTGTCAAAAGTATTCACAGAACACGATGGGGATAAAACTAAAATGTTAATTAAGGGTTTTGTGTGCATTATCTCTTAAAATTAAAATTTTAAACTTAATTAAGGGGGAAGATATATATAAATTATTGTTGAGTTAAGTTTATTTTGACATGTTAATTTTATTTTTAATCGTTTTTTGTCTGTCATAATTTTAATACTACACTATACTCAATATATTTTTTGAAATGTAATCATAAAAAAATTTATGCTAGGAATAAAATTCGTGTTAAATTTGTATAAATAAAGATTAAAATTGTCACTTTTAATAGTACACGGATCAAAAGAAGCTTTTTAAAAATATATCGACTGAGATGAGAAATTTTACAATTTCCTCGTTAAAAAAAGGAAAGAAAGAAAACTATGCACTCAAACGACGTCGTTCCCTGCCGTTCTTTCTCTCTCTTAATTGTTTTTTTTTTTTTTTTTCTGAAAGAGCCCAGTCGTCCTCTTCTCGTTCTATCTCGAATGGTCAGCAAAGACGATGTATTACGTGGCGCCTTTTATTGGCTTAATATAAACAAGAATACGATACTGCGAAGCACCAGATTGCATCCTCTTTGGTTTAGGCAGCAAGCAAACTTCAAGCAAAGATCGAACTCGAAGTATAGCATAGCGCCAGCTTCGTCTTCCACAGTTCTACGTCTTCTGGTTCTGCAACGATGGTGCTCGAGGTAATTTTCATCTTAAAATCTCTGTTTTCTTTTCCAGAGCTTTTGATTCTCTTACAATCGCGAGATTGCATTCCTTAAATTTTAGGATTACGATGTTTTCCTGTTATTGCTATAGCAAGTTAGGGTTTATTAATTTGACTATCTATGTATCGGTTGAGTCAGGCGACTATGATCTGTATTGACAACTCCGAATGGATGCGGAACGGCGATTATTCTCCTTCAAGATTTCAAGCTCAAGCAGATGCCATCAATCTTATTTGTGGAGCTAAGACGCAGGTCACTAATCTTAAAACCATATTTTTGTTTTCTCTAGCTGTTTTAGCTATGGAAGTCTATAAAAATTAGGAGGAGCCTTTATTATCAGTTATACTCGCAATTGAGATTCTGCTGTATTCCTTCATTCTTCATCATTCTTCTTTACTGTCGATTCAATTAATATCGCAAGTTGGTTGCTCACTTGCTCTACGGTTCACGATATGGGATTAATTTTATAGTACGTGTAGTAATGAGAAATCACATCCCGATAATTGCACTGTTAGAAATTTTTTGGTTAGAAGGAATGAATAAGAGTAGGAGGCTTGTTGTATTCAAAATTTGCTTCTAGTGAAGTGACCAGTTTTATGTGTGTTTTCCTGGATTGTTGTTCTGCGTTGGGAATGAATATGTTTGGATTCTGACAGTCTAATCCGGAGAATACGGTTGGGGTTCTGACAATGGCGGGAAAAGGTGTTCGTGTGCTCGTCACTCCCACCACTGACCTTGGCAAGATACTGGCATGCATGCACGGTTAGTTGCATTTATTCTTGTTCTTGCAGTATTGCAAACCTACCACCAGAGACCAATCTGCTGTCCTTAAGTGTTGCCCCTTTTCTTTATTCTTCCCCAGTTGTCTGTAGTCAGTCGCAAATGGAAGCTTTTTTTGAATGATGCTTAGGGTTCAATTTCTTATATTTATATTATTATAGAGAGGAAGTCAGACCAGTTTTTACCGGAGCAGGTTATTGCTCAACTTAAAAGCATTATACTGTTGTATAGAAAATTGTCAAGTTCGCATTGCTTTGTTCTATCTATTAGTTTTACTCCATCTAGACATCTATTAAGGTTCTGAAATTATGTCCTGAACTTTAAATCTAGGTTTGGAGATAGGTGGTGAGATAAACCTGGCAGCTGGCATCCAGGTGGCTCAGTTAGCTCTTAAGCATCGTCAGAACAAAAAGCAGCAACAAAGAATTATAGTCTTTGTTGGAAGGTATGTGGTTTAAAAGTTTTGTATCCCCTCTACCACGAATTTGGTACTCCAATAAAATATTTTAAGAGGTTTTTGAGGCTTACACTTGAGGATGCAATTTTTAAGTACTGAGACTTATACCTAGAATATGCTCACCTTTAGGATGCAAAATTTGTCACGACGCTTAAACCATGGGTGTTCATGCTCGGGTTAGGTTAAATTGAATGATTCTTTGAAGTTTCAACTAGAAGTTCATCTAACTCAAGTAACCAGCTTGCTGATTGATGAACCCCACTCGAGCCTATTATAATTGATCGTTGGCTCCAATAATTTGGGTTCTTTACTCCAAATACAAGTTTTCCTATTCAAATGCATTAAAAAAGAATCTCACTAGTATCGATATTGAAGACTGATAAACTAATAATTTACATAAAACTGTCACAAAGTTTGTTAATTTGAAGTTCACATTAATATCTTACCATGAAAAATAATTTGAAGTAAATTAATTGATAAACTTCTATCTCTTTTGAAGCAACATGTGTGCACCTCAATCTCATTGAGAAACAAATGCTTCCCGAATGAAAGATCGCAACCAGCCACTAAAAGTTAAAATTGTATAATAGTTTGTAAAATTTTTTATGTAGAAGTAAATCTAATCCTGAAATCTAAGAGTTTAATTGTCAATTTACCTAAATGCACAGTGTCTGTACATTTGGTGAATAAATGCTCCTCAAAATCAAATGATAAATCGCAATCAGCCAATGAGGGTAATCCTAAGGAAATCTAAATTTAAATTATGTCATTTGTGTTAAGGCCTCTCATAAGGGTAGTATTCGAAGGAAGACTTCAATTTTATAGGGATACTTTCCTTCCCAAACTCGTGTATCGGTATCTTTGGAGAAATTAGGATCCTGACAAGACAAATTTTGAAAATCCACTTTAGCTTTTTAAAGCACTGATTTGTGATTTCAGTAACTACTTATTTATCATTACACAATGTCTGATGCAGTCCTGTTAAACATGAGAAGAAGTCATTGGAGATGATAGGAAGAAAGTTGAAGAAGAACAATGTGGCCCTTGATATTGTTGATTTTGGCGAAGAAGATGATGGCAAACCTGAGAAATTGGAAAGTCTTCTTGCAGCCGTGAACAGTAACGACACCAGTCACATTGTTCATGTTCCTTCTGGTCCAAATGTGCTGTCTGATGTACTCATCAGGTTGGCCTTTGACTTCTTTCTATTTCGAGATCTTTGGTATATTTTGTGTTATAACTTGTTATATCCTCATTTTAAGTTTTCTTTCTTCGATTTCAGTACTCCAATCTTCACTGGAGACGGGGAAGGTGGAAGTGGTTTTGCAGCAGCTGCTGCAGCTGCTGCTGCGGGTGGTGTAGCTGGTTTTGATTTTGGGGTTGATCCCAACTTAGATCCTGAACTTGCCCTTGCTCTTAGGGTTTCTATGGAAGAGGAGAGGGCCAGACAGGAGGCAGCTGCTAAGAAGGCTGCAGAGGATACGGCAAAGCAAGATAAAGGAGTTGAGCAGCCATCTGGCTCACAGGATGCAACTATGACTGAGCGTCCTGGACTTGCAACTTCTGATGCTGAAAACAAGACTACTGATTTAATGGTCAGTATAGCTTGGTTTTCAGAAAATTGTATTACAGCATTTTGCTAGATTGCTCTTTCAAATTCTAGCTCTTTGGAGTAATTTGATTTTAACCTTCAGCCTTTTAACAATTTGATCATTTTTTCTTTACCAATTTGAATATCTATTCTGCCCGTTGTGATACGTAATTGGCAGAAAGGGAAAAACAATTCTTATTATTTGAGTTAATTCTGGATGATAGGACGATGAAAATGCTCTGCTACAACAAGCTCTTGCTATGTCAATGGATAATCCTTCTGCAGCGAGTGACATACGAGACATAGACATGTCAGAAGTTGCAGCAGACGATCCTGAATTGGCACTTGGTAAGTCTTTGCTGTTCATATTTCTCCATTTTTTTTTTGGTTTTGCACCAGTACATACTTGTATTCTCTCTGTCTAGCATATTTTTTTAGAGAATTGTTCAAAGCATTACTTCTTTACCCAATTTGCTGCATAAATTAGCCAATTTTCTCAGACGAGTTAGTGATTGATAGCAAATAAGAGGACTCAAAATATCCTTTGATTTTTGGCAGTTACCTTGTTTTATATTTTCGACTCATCCATCCATGCTAATGGCTCTCCACACGAATCATCTATCTTATTTGTTGCTTGCAGCTCTTCAGTTGTCTGTGCAGGAAGCTTCCAGTGACTCAAGCCAGTCAGATATGAGCAAATTATTGGCCGACCAGTCTTTTGTTTCTTCTATTCTAGCTTCAGTATGTTTACATAGTTTCAGCTCTTCTCCCCCATTTTCCCTTTCTTAATTGAGAAATTAAGCATAATCGCATATCGGTTGCTTTGCTTCCAGTGAAATAGTAATAGAATCCTTTTGCAGCTTCCAGGCGTAGACCCAAATGATCCTTCCGTAAAAGATTTGCTCGCCTCCATGCAAAGCCAGTCAGAGGTGAGTCGTGTAAACTTTCGCTGAACTTACTGATGAAATTGCAAATATGATAACTGCTTTTACCCGAGGCCTGATCAAGTAGTTAGTTCAGAACATGTTATTTATAGTTCTCAATTTTGCTCATCTTTTAAAATTCTCAATTTATTCAAAATTCTTCGCGCACAAAAGAAAATTGTTAAAATTTATTAACAAGAAGGTGATGTATGATTAAATTATTATTTTATTAACATATCTAGACACGTGGACATACTGCTTAGATTTTACTTAGACCCATGAAATCAATCATCAGTGAAATTTGACCAATTCATCAACAAAATTTATTTCTTCCAAATGGTATGCCCAGTCCAAGTATGTAAAATAATAATTTAATGATACATATGCTTTTTGCTACGGAATTTTAACATTTGTTTTATGAAAGGATCTAATTGAGAATGACTAATAAAAGAAAATGTGGATACATGAATTTAAAACTCGGTTTGTGTTTACACATGCTATATTTTGCTGTAGGACAAGAAAAACGAAGGCAAAGAATCAAAGGAAGATGAGAAATGAGGCATTTTCGAGCTCAGTTCCCAGCCATGTTTTAAACTCGGGAATTCACAAACCCGTCAGGGAAGAGATGCTCGACACCATTATTCTCATTTGTCACCTGTCTCTAAATTGTTATATTTTCATGATAAATTATGTGGTAGGTATGTGCTGCAATGTACCATCCCTCCATCGTGTATCTTATCTTGATTCATTATCTTCATTATTACAGAGGCCATAGAAGTCGTTCACATGTGATAGGGCAGGGCTGCTAGCTTTGGACCATTTGTCTCTTCGCATGCCCATTTTAAACATTTTGATTATTGAGTGAAAATGGCATGTTTGCCCTTTCCGAAGTAGAAACAAAGAAATTTGTTTGCGAAACAGCAACTTGATAATTGAAAATTTTGAATACGTTCAGGACATAATTGAAAATTTTGGAAGATTTAGGGCCCAAATAGACTATTCCTTGACAATTATATTTACCGAAAGTTTTTTTTTTTACAATAACTAATAATACAAACCTTAGAATTAGATAGATGAATTTGTTTACACGTGCAGACAAAGCATCAAAGGAATACAGTGAATGTGGCATTGAAGTCGTACGCATGCGAGTGGCACCTAGACCATTTTTTTTAATTTTCACGCTTGCATTTAAAAGGTTTTGTTTTGTTTGTCCTTTTCGAAAAAAGAAAGAAAGAAATAAATAAAGAATAAAAATGATATGCTTGTGGAAAACGGGTTTTTAACAAAATTAGAGGTCTAATAGGTAATTTAGGGTGCATGAAAATATGGTTGTATTTAATGTTTTGTTTGGTATGGTGTTACCTACCAACTACATATTTAATTCAATCTAAGCTAATATCAATTAATTTATTAATTTTTTGTTATAACTTTTTTATAACTAGTATTCTACAATATTATATAATTTACATTATTATTTTTCATGTGTTATAATTAAGAAACGAGCTTATAACATGAAATAATATGTTAATCACAGTTTTTATTTCTTGTAATACAGTGAAGCATTTTACATTTTCAAGATCTGAAAACATAAAAATATTATTTTTAGAATTTCTACTATTTTGATCCCTTAATCCAAAAACAATTTTAAAAAATAATTATGCAAAACCTATATTTATACGGAATCTTTTTTCTTTTATTTTATTTTAATAAAGAACATATCATTTGTACAGTATAAATTATAATTTTTTACCTACAATAGAACTAGTTAGTTAATTAAGCTATCTTTTAAGTATGGTCGATAAGCTCTCTACCTTTCACTAGTACGATTGTTCCAATTTGTAAGCGTATTGATCATCTTCTACTAACCATCCGTGCCTATGAAAAAACACATCCAAACATGTGGTTTTGTCCTCTCTTTCATAGTTTAATAAGATATTTTTATACATTTCTTTGTCTTCCTTCTCTTTTTCTTATTTTTCCTCTACTCCTTTGATTTCAAAAAAGGAAAAAAAAATTGTTGGTGTTAAATTAATGTGATGCCAATGGATGCCAATGCCTACAGAGTGTCAGTAATGTGTTTGTCCTCTCTTTTATCCTTTACGGAGGAGTTCTAAACCTTTTTTCCTTCATTTTCTATAAATGGATCAAAGTTCATTTTGTTTGTTGAAATTCGTGAATTTTTAGAGATATTTACATTGTGGCTCGTTAAAATTAGTGGTAGATTAACAAAAATTTAATAAAAGGTAAAATTTCAGACAATTTGATTAAATTGAAAGTTTAGGTTGGAAATTGATACATTTTGGTACAAATTAATTAAAAAACAAAAGTTATTTACTCTCTTCAATATTTAATGACATCACTGTTTTAAAGAGTAATATTTAATTACATAATTAGTTGAGATGTGGATTTAATCGTATTATTTCTAAACGCTGCTGTCTATGGCGCGAAAGGGGCTTAAAAAAAAAAGAAAAAAGAAAAGATGTGAAAAATCCAATCGTCGTCTTCCCCATTCAGCGCGAGCCAATGTCCATTAATTCGCTACGAACTACTGAAAAACAGTCGCCTAAATTTATCCAACAGAGAGAAGAACTCTCCTCTGTTACAGTATTCGGGAAATTCTTGTTCGGCATCGGGCGTTGAAGTGGACAATTCAGTGGATTAGACAAGAGTTTCGTTTAATTTAGTAGAACTGATGAATAAGCGTTCGTTTCTCGAGTGCACTTGATTCTTTAACATTTGGGTTGAAGTTTCTATTCAGTTTTTCCTGAATTTTTATTCGGATATGATTGGTTACGGGAAGAACATTGAATGGAGAGCTCAAAGAACTCGTCAATGGAGGCAAATAATATTTCTTCTTGTACGGAACAGTGATTTCAAGCTTTTAAAAAATCGAGTGACAAGTCAACGTCATCCCAGGCCGGATTGAATAATCCAAAAGGTAAAAAAACTCTGCGCATTTCCTTTGTCCTCTTTCGACACCCATTTTTTCACTGCTTTTGTTTTATTCTTCCTCCTCTCTTCTATATTTTGCGATCCGAACTCTTGAGTTGGGGCAATCGGCTTTGAGTAATGGAAAAACAAGCCATTTCCAGCCGAACCTTATCATTTCTGCTTCTTGTGCTGATATTTTGTTGTGTTGAAGTGAACTATGCTTTCATTGACTACGACAATGGAGGTGGCGTTGTGGAAGGGAAGTTGAATGTTCACCTGGTTGCTCACTCGCACGACGATGTTGGCTGGTTAAAGACTGTCGATCAGTACTATATTGGTTCAAACACCAGTATTCAGGTAACTTTCTATCATCTTGTAATCAACAAAACTTGTTTGGTGGATTTCCAAACAATTCTCTGACTGTTGAATTTGTTGCTGTTCAAATAGCGAGCGTGTGTGCAGAATGTGCTTGATTCAGCTGTTGATTCTTTGCTTCGTGATACAAACAGGAAGTTTGTGTTCGCTGAAATGGTAACTTCTTTTGGCTTCTACAATAATTGCTTCTAGCTTTTAAGTGCTTAATGACGAACCATTTTGATACTTAGATCTATATTTTTAGAAGTGCTTATGATAAATCACTTTAACTAAAAACATTCTGTAAATGTCTTCCCACAAAATACCTTCCGGTACTTTCAACTCTTTTTCAAAATATTTTTACGTATAAACATAAAAGTTTTGAGTGAAGAGTCAAAAGCACTCACAACTATAGCCTATATATTTGTGCGTGCCATCAAGTGTTTCATCTGAAATTTGCTTTCTCTATCCATGTTAAAAGTTAAAGCTTTGGATCTCCTAAATCAGCCCACAGCATGAGAAGGCTAAGTAAATTTACTTTTAATGAAGTTCATTGTGAGTGGCTTAGGCATTTTTCCAGCGATGGTGGTCAGAACAAAGTCCCAAACTCCAAAGACTAGTGAGAAAACTTGTGGAAGCCGGCCAGTTGGAATTCGTGTATGCAATTACGAAACGCCTCTATCCTTTCTCTGACCGTGTTATATTGTGAATGTTTGCCAATAAATTTTCTGTTTCTGTAGAAATGGAGGTTGGTGCATGCATGATGAAGCAACAACCCATTACATAGACATGATCGACCAAACGACTCTTGGGCACAGTATGATAAAGAAGGAGTTCAACAAGGTTCCTCGTGCCGGATGGCAAATTGATCCGTTTGGTCACTCTGCCGTGCAAGCTTACTTACTTGGTGCTGAGGTCCTTGATCTCGTTTATCTCTAATCCTAAAGTTCCTCCATAGTCCTTCATTTTCTGACCATATATTCACTTTTATTTGATAGAATTAGCATGGCCACGCTTTTCCTTAAGAATGACGGATCACCTGTGTTGTAGTGCTACCATTCCAACACATAGTTGTTGACTTGCATGCTTTTATTTTTCAGGTTGGTTTTGACTCTGTACATTTTTGGAGGATTGATTATCAGGATAAGGAGAAGCGCGAGGTAGATAAATCTCTAGAAGTTGTATGGCATGGCTCTAAAACATTTGGTTCTTCATCTCAGGTGTACCGTAAAACATCTGATTTACTCTTCTTTTTCCTGCAATGTCCATTCTTTCTCGTTATCTTTAATCTGATATTGCGTTTATATACTTATTTTTGTACTTACTGTGTTCGTCTGCAGATTTTTGTAAATACCTTCCCTGATAGTTACGATGCTCCTTCTGGTTTTCACTTTGAAGTAACAGACGATTTCTTTCCTATTCAGGTATGATGTTTGTGCATGAAATACTACTACAAATCCTTGGTAACAGACACATTACCTCTTAACTAATGTGACAAAACTGCAGGATGATCCTTTACTTTATGACTACAACGTTGACCAGCGTGTTAATGATTTTATAGATGCTGCTCTGGCCCAAGTAAAATATTAATTTGACAATTTGAATTTTGATTTTAGGCTTCGGGGCAACAAATGGTAACATCAAACATTGGTAATTACTTGCACTGTTGTTTTATGTAGGCAAGTATCACCAGGACTAATCATATCATGTGGAAAATGGGTGGTGATTTCCAGTACCAATACGCTGAGTCCTGGTTCAGGCAAATGGATAAGTTGATTCACCATGTTAGAAAGGTTCGGCTGAACTGGAAAAGTCAATTCATTTTTGGGATGTATTTTGCATTCTGATTATTATTCGGTTTTTGTTTTCCACCATGTTCTGTTGTTTTGGATGCATTCTTTACCAGGACGGTCGGATTAATGCTCTGTATTCAACACCATCCATATACACTGATGCAAAACATGCAGCAAATGAGACATGGCCATTGAAAACGGATGATTTTTTTCCGTGAGCATTTCATCTTCTTCAAGTTTAGGATGTGCCCTCTATTGGCGAAGCATAATTTTTTTGGAAATATGTAACCGATTAGTATGCTTCCCCATGGACAATAACAGGTATGCTGATTATGCACATGCGTATTGGACTGGCTTCTATACAAGTCGCCCAGCCTTGAAACGATTCGTCAGGATGCTGAGTGGATATTACTTGGTATGTCCTAAGGGTAGCTGAGGATTTATCAAGGAGTGACTAAATGCTGTACTTTAGCTCTTGGAATGTCAACAATCTCTGATACATTTTATTGGGCTCTTGAATATGGTTGCTGAAGACCTTCTACTGAGATGCCTAGCAGAACCTTAATTGCAAGCTCATTGTTTTTTAATTGCTTAGTAGATTTTTTAAAATCCATATCAGTTGAATAATTTTTTTGTTTCATATTAGGCAGCACGACAGCTCGAATTCCTGGTTGGGAGGAGATCCGGTGGCCCCAATACTTATAGTCTTGGTGATGCTTTGGGGATCGCACAGCACCATGATGCAGTGACTGGGACTGCTAAGCAGCATACTACAGATGATTATATGAAACGGCTTGCTGCAGGATCCTCTGAGGTGTGTTTCATACTTTTTGCTCGAGCCTATGATTGCATTTAGTTTACCCTTTTATTCTTCTTGTAAGCTTAAAAATATTTCTTCGCTTTAATTTAATGACAATGGAAACTTTTACAGGCAGATGCAGTGGTGAATTCTGCTCTGTTTTGCTTAGGGCAAAATAAGTCGGGGGCTGACTGTGAGAAATCAAATATACTAAGCCAGGTGATGCTTTGTTGTTGCTTGGGTTTCTGATATTATTTATCAGGTTCACATTGGAATTGATGCACTTTATGGCTTTTGAAATTTCCTTTAATTTTTTGTTAAATAGTGTCCATTGCTCAATATAAGTTACTGCCCACCGACAGAGCAAGAAATTGAAGGGAATAGTTTGGTAATGTTTCTTTTCTTTTCCAGTCTTTTAGAAATGTGCTCTTTAAATATTTTTAACGATAATGTGAACGAGTAAATGCACCTGCTGTCAGGTCGTGGTGGTGTACAACCCTCTTGGATGGATTCGTAATGATATCATTAGGATACCAGTGAGTAGAAACTTGCTTTTGCTTGCTTGTTTCACATTTCAGACAATTGAATGACTTGGATTATTACTATATCTTCTTCAACAAAAGAACACGGGGAATTAGACCTTTTACAACTCAGGGAAATATGATCAGGAAGGAAAAAATGGGCTTTGTTTTATTCATATAATCTGAAAATGATAATTTTCATCAGGTTTATGATGCCGATCTTGTTGTCCAAGATACCTCAGGCGAAATCATTGAGACGCAATTTGTTCCCATCGATAAAGTCACAAAAGACATAAGCAAGTTGTATGTGAAGGCTTACTTGGGACTGCCAAGGGGACAATTTCCCAAGTACTGGCTTCTGTTTCAAGTATCAGTTCCTCAACTTGGATGGAACACGTACTTTATTTCTAAAGGAAGCAGTGGAGGTAGATATTTGACCTTTTATCCCTGTATATATCTTTTTGTCTTTGTAGTCACTTAGAATAGTAGATGTCTTTTGAATTCGAGAGTTTTGGTCTCTTAACTCTTGTGAAATATTCACAATTTAAGAACCAACTTTGTTCGAAGTGTCCTGGGTTGTAAGGTGTTCTCATCTACTGAGAAAATTCAAGAAGTTGCATAAAGAAATTATAAGAAACTTCTAATGCTCTTTTGTGCCAAAATTCATTCAGGTCAAAGAAGATTCAGTTTTCTTTCCACAGGCAGTTGGAAGGATACCATTGAAGTTGGGCCTGGCAATTTGAAGATGGTCCTTTCTTCTGGCGAACTCGAACGCATGTACAATTCAAAAACTGGGGTGAGTTGTCTCGCTTCTTTTGGTTAACGTATGTTTAGCATTGAAGTGTCTGAACGGTTGACGTAAGATAGACAAAATAAGAATATAAAAAGTACTTCACTCTTCTTATACTGCTTGGCTGGTGATTATATGCTTTTTGTTAGTTTCTAATGTATGCTTAATTTAATTATTTATTAATGTGGTGATCTTATATAAATAATATACTGATATTTAATTATTTATGATGTTTTTTTCCTCACAAAATTAACTAAGGATTCTCGACAGAATGAGCATCCTTTAACTCACATGGGGTCATGGAACTTATTGGCTTAATGCATCTAATTGCTTTTTTTTTTTTCCTTCTTCTTTCTTTCTTCGCTTAATAACTTGTTTGTTCCTACTTATAATTATAATGGAATAATCTATTAGCTATTACCTCAATATCCCAGGTTAATGTACCGATACAACAAAACTATCTATGGTATTCTTCATCTACAGATTACGAACAGGTATTTGAGATTGTTTAAATTATGATATTTCGTAAAATATAAATTCAGCATCTACCAATACGCAAGTTTTGTAAATTTCTTGATGTAGGCGTCTGGTGCATATATTTTTAGGCCTGAAGGGGAACCAAATATCGTTTCTAGATCAGTAAGCCTTATGTTTCCTTCGTTATTTATATGTGTAATGTGCATCAAGTTGCCAATTTTTCGTATTTGTTACGTTCCAAAGTTCTCTCTTTTTTTTTATTTTTATTTTTTCTTATTGGACTTGACAGGCTCCTGTGGAAGTCATTCGTGGACCGCTAGTTGATGAGGTCCGCCAACAGTTCAGTCCATGGATCTACCAGGTTGGTGCTAAAAGTAGAATGAAACTGAAAAAGGAATTGTCCATTTGAGTTCATGTCTGTTAATGGCCTAATCTTTGAGTATATGGTTGTGCATTAGGTCATTAGACTTTACAAAGACAGAGAGCATGCTGAATTTGAATTCACAGTGAGTCTATCTTGAAACATTATCCTCAAATTACCCGACTTTTCATTTTCTGTTTGGTAAAGTCCAAAACTCGTTGATATCTTAAGCTTCCAATTGAATGGTTATGGTGAATTTCTACTCTGAAGGTTGGTCCAATTCCAACGGATAAGGATGGGGATTATTATGATTATTATTATTATGATGGAAAGGAGATCATCACAAGAATGACGACAAACATGGTTACAGATAAAGCATTTTACACCGATTCAAACGGGAGAGACTTTTTAAAGCGGGTAACTACCACATGGTTGTTCAAATTTCAGTTAGAAATACATTTTCAGAACATGTAAATAATCGCTATCTCGAGCTGAAATACAAACATGTTCCTTTTCTTCTCTCTTGCTGTGTACTATATATCTTCTCGTCTCATTTGCTTATTGCTCTGTTGTTACCTACGAGTGCTATTTTCAGGTTCGGGATTATAGGCAAGACTGGAATCTTTCTGTCCATGAACCAGTGGCAGCAAACTATTATCCGGTAATGTTCCACGACTTGATAGACTGTGATAAAGTTCCTTGATCATGTAGATGGTATAGGAGTCCTGACCTTTGCTCTATTTGGGATGCTCTTTTCAGCTCAATCTTGGAATTTACACTGCCGATAAAAAGACTGAATTATCTGTGTTGGTAGATCGTGCCACCGGAGCAGCCAGCATTAAAGATGGACAAGTGGAGTTAATGCTTCATAGGTTGATTTGATTCTTCCCATTCTTATTTTCCAATCCGTAAAAGTTCTATTTTATCATAGACATGAAAATGCTAATTCGTAGATCCTTTTATAATGCAAAAGGCGTACACCCTACGACGATGGTAGAGGAGTAGGGGAACCTCTTAATGAAGAAGTGTGTGTCGATGGTGAATGTGAAGGATTAACGGTATGATACTTGACTGGAACCAATTTTCTTTTGAGTTCAGTTTCTCTTATACTGTGAAATGGCAAGGGTCTGATGGAATGCAGTCTGTTTCTTGCAGACTCCATTGCCAGTAAAAGATATGGAAATATTTTCATTGAAGAAGTTTATAATGTTTTTCATCATGAAATACAAAATGCTTGATCTATCTTTTATCAGGTGAGAGGAAATTATTACGTGAACATCAACAACCTGGGTTCTGGAGCCCGTTGGCGACGAAAAACAGGCCAAGAAATTTACTCGCCGCTTCTCTTAGCTTTTGCGCACGAGGTAGGATATGATCGTATGATAATGTAACATTGGAACTCTCTCTCTTGGTAATATCTATTGTTTTTACAGAATAAAGAGAGCTGGATTGCATCTAAGGTGACCAAATCAACAACAATGGACCCATACTACACCTTGCCTCTCAATGTTGCCTTGATTACTCTTCAGGTGATCACTGTAGAATCGAGTTCGCTCTCCGCTCTCTCTCCCTCTCTCTAACTATTTGTTCTGCAGGAGTTGGACGATGGAAGTGTTCTTGTCCGCTTGGCACATCTATACGAGGTAAAACAAATATCCCACAAATTCGCTCAATCTAACAACTGAATTTAAACTCGAAAACGGAAGGAAGTTTTCCTCCATTTCACAAGCTAATTAGAACGATTTCGACGATGATTTGTTAAGGCCGGAGAAGATCCTACATATTCAACATTGGCTAAGGTGGAACTGAAGAGAATGTTCTTTGGAAAAAAGGTATGTCAGCAACAACAAACTCAAGAGTGCAAAGTAAATGAAAGTTTGAACTTGTTTCCATGGATTATTTATGATTGGTGGGGCTGTGTTTTTTCCTTTTTAAAGATAAAAGAGGTGAAGGAGATGAGTTTATCAGCAAACCAGTTGAAATCAGAGATGAAAAAGAAGTCGTGGAAAGTTGAGGGAGATGACAGATCCAATGAAACACCACTCAGAGGTGGCCCTATTCACCAATCGTCTCATGTTGTGGAGTTGGGCCCAATGGAGATTCGCACTTTCACATTGAAATTTTGAATAAAAATTTCATCTTCTTGTAATTTACTCAAAATAATATCAGCAATAAGGCTGAGAATTTGAGATCACTTCCTCAAATTCTTATCAATGTTCTATCTATAATAATCGTTTTATGAAAGCCCTTATTGTTCAATAATTTCTCAGAGTCGTCTTGTCAAACATCTCATTAGTATAAGCCTAACTTTGTTTTATAAAAAAATAATTTCATAGATTGTCACGTCATGAGAAAATATAGTATTGACTGTCTTTGATATTTAAATATAATTAATTGATAATTGATATGTTGGTTTATTTGTAATGTTTTTAAATGTTGGGCCGGCCGTATCAAGCAATAGCTAGGGAAAATAAAAGTGTTTGTAAAAGATTAATTTCATTTTCCCCATATATACCTTTTTAAAAAATTGTAGTTTAAATTTCCATCTCACCTCTCTATTGGTATTGTAATATTCTACCAATCATTAATTTCATATAAAATTTTCCACAGAAAAAATATTAGTAAGGGTGGAATTAATTTAGGTTCACACAAAATATATATATATATATATATATATATATATATATATATATATATATAAATATATATATAAATATATATATAGATGTGAAGATTCAAACTCACGATCGCTTATGTTTGAAATAAGTTCTTTAATCGGTTGAACTAATTTCGAATTTTTAAATATTATATTGTATACTATAATTACCAGGTACTAACCAATAAAGAATCTCATTTACTTATTATTTTTTAATTATAATTTTTTTAAAAACTAAAAGTTATTATTCAACTTGCTCCTTCCGTCTCTTTCAATAATATAATATTTTAAAAAAATTAATATCATGAAAAGTCACATCACAAAGAAAAGATCAAAATTCTCTCTCTTTAATATTTAAATATATATTTTTTTTGAGGAATTAAAAAATATATAATTATTTATTATATATATAACGGATATATTGATTTATTTGTATTGTTTTTAGATGTTGTATTGGGATTTTTTTAATATTACTAAAATTGTAACTATATTTAAAAATATTCTAGACCCCCAAACCCGAAAGATCTGCTCATGCTTTGTCTACTTCGAAAGTGTCGTATGAAATCGAGACAATTGAAAGGTTGTTTTCTTAAATTTTTCTTTCTATTATTTGAATTATTGGTCTTCACTTTTTGTCCTTCGAAGCTTTGTGAGTGATATGTGATTTTAAAATGCATACTTACCTTGTAATGGTGGTGATTCCGGCCTTCCCCCAATTTCTTTTTTTTTTTTCAAATATGGAATTAGAATGGAGATAAAATATGCTCTGATTTAAAAATAAATAAATAAACGCACGAAAAAAATACAAGCTATATCGTCTCTGTAAGAGAAGATAAGTTAGTCATGTAGGGAGGAAAATGAGGTAACATATGTCGTCTCTTCATTGAACGAGGCAACAGTGTAATGAATCGCCCTACAGAAATTTGAGATGCAGCCCAAGAATCTCTCGAAAGCTCGTTGATCTTTAGTATTGGGTTTGGGAGAACTACAAGAAGATGAAGTAAAGATTAGTCATCTAACCTTAAAAAGATTTATACATCTCAACCAGAGAAAGAGGCAATACGGCCTTACTTAGGTTCTCAAATTCGACTAGGACCTCATACATCAGCCTTTTCACTATTCGAGACAAGTTAATTTATATATACATAGATCCGTATTTTTCTAATTTAGGATGAATTGATGAGTAAAGTACATGTGCTTTTACTAATAATTAAAGTAACATAAGAGATAACATGTCAATGAAAATATTTAAAATGTATTATTTTTAAAATAAGTTTGAGGTTTATAATATTTTAAACATTAGTTATAATTTTAGTAATATTTTTGAAAAATATCTTCATGTATCGTACCAAGCACTAGTCCGAAGAGAAAATCGGTTGAGAGAAAAAGAAAACATGGTTTTTTATTTTTATTTTTGTTTTTTTTAAAGTTGTGGTTCAAATTCATACCTCCAACCGTGCAAGATTAATGCATGGAAAGTAACAATACAGAAAAGACTAGTATTTACTCTCTTTAATATTTAAATATCTAATACAATCTTTCAAAAAAAGGGAAAAAAATATATTTATATTATATATATAATACCTAATAAATTTATATGTTACATCCCACCGAACACTGACCAGAAAGGGAAATAGTTTACCCTTTTTTGGAAAAAGAAAATTTTTTTTGTTCTAATTCCTCTCTTTTTTATCAATGCTGAGTAGATAAGATATCTATTACTATATGGTTCGATTTCCAAAAAGTTTCCACCCTCTCTTAACTTAATAATATAATAAGGATAATACTTGGATTATTGTCACCCCACCCCTAAATACTTGGAAGTTCAATATAGACGCTGCTTGGGTTGACGAGCAATATTAGAACAGTTGCGATTGGGTGGTCCAAATTTGGAAGGGAAGATGTTCTCGTAGACAATACCTATGTTCTAGATAAAAGCAACGTCAAACAATTGGAAGCAATACTATACTAAAAGGACTTAGAAATTTACAAAATCAAGAGATATTCTACACTTACCTCAACGGAAGTGGAGAAGTTGCGACATTGATGAGATTTTATATATTATATATTGTGGAAGAAATACAAACCATGATGGAGTAGAAATTGATGGTTTTTATTTGTTTTATCAAACAAGAAGCAACTGGCACATACGATCGCACGAAGTTCCTCGATCGAAGAAGAATCAATGGTTTGGAAGATTGCTTTTGTCGATTTAGCCATATGATTTTGTAATTTAGCCAAAACTGAATTTCGTTAACAAAGCTAATTTTCGTTAAAAAAATATTCACCAATCAGCCAGCATATCTTAAATCTTTTTTATAAATTTCTTCAAAAAAATCTTTTTTTTTTTTTTTATAAATATGAAAGATAAATCAGTAAGAAAACTAACTTTTCTATTTCTTCAAATATTAAAAACTGTCAAATTTTAAGTAGAAATGGGTTGGGCCAATGGCACGCAAATATTGTTCATGTAAATGTAATATTCTACAAAAAGAAAAAACGTAAAAAAGGAGGAAAAGGGAATAATATTCAATTGTACGGATTAATTAATCCGTTATAAAAAAAACCTCCACCTGTTAAATCCAGTCGTCGTCTTCCCCATTCTGCGCGAAGGCGACGGCCATTAAATTCCCTACCTAATATACAGAAGAAAAGTCAGCTAATTTTATTTACTTTTTATCCAATTCCAAAACACACAGATAACTCTCCCCTGTTACAGTATTGGAGAAATTATTGTTCCTTCCGTATGGGGCATCGAGCATTGAAGTCGTCAATCTCAGAATTCAATGGCTTACACTAAATTTCGTTAAATTTAGTATGACTGCTGCAAAAATGTTCATATTATCAACTGCGCGCGACTCTTTACCATTTGGATTGAGATTCGAAGTTTCTATTATGGAAATTGTTAACATGATTGGTCAAGGGAACTCGTCAATGGACGCCAATAAATGTCTTCTTGTACGGAGCAGTAATTTCAAGCTTTTTGTGAGCCGACTGTCAAGTCGATCGAGCTCATCACAAGCTGGCCAGAAAAATCCAAAAGGGAAGAAACCCGACGCATGTCCTTTGTCCTCTTTCAAGTTTCATCATCAATTAACTTTTCACTGCCTTTGTTGTTTTTTCCCCTCTTTCCTCCTCTCCCCTATATCTTGCGCTGAACTTTGGAGTTGGGGGAATCCGCTTTGAATAATGGATAATCGAGCCAGTTCCGGCGCACCCTTTTCATTTCGGCTTCTTGTGCTCATACTTTTTTGTGTTGGAGTGAATTTTGCTTTTGTGAACTATGACACCGGCGGCGGCGTTGTGGAAGGGAAGTTGAATGTTCACTTGGTTGCTCACTCGCACGACGACGTTGGCTGGTTGAAGACCATCGATCAGTACTATGTGGGTTCAAACAACAGTATTCAGGTCAGTGTCCATCATCTCGTATTCAGCAAAACTTGTTTAGTTGGTTTGCAAACGATTTTTTTACAGATGAATTTGATGTTGTTCAAATAGGGAGCGTGTGTGCGGAATGTGCTTAATTCAGTTGTTGATTCTTTGCTTCGCGATTCAAACAGGAAGTTTATATTCGCTGAAATGGTAACTTCTTTTTGCCTCTTCTAATCACCGGGATTCGTTATTTGGATCCATCTGTGTGTTCTGGGAGCTTTCATAATAATTAATTTTAGTAAAGCTTAATGGCCAATCATTTTGATGCTCGGTTGGATATTCTTAAAAAGTGCTTTTAAAGTTCTTTTGATAAGAAAATTGAGCCAAAAAATACTTTTATATTCTCAAAAAGCACTCTGGGGTCCTTTTTTTTAACTTTTTTTTCTTAAAGCACTTCATATTACTTCCAAACATGAAAGTTTGGCGTGAAAAGTGCCAAAGATACTCACAAACATAGCCTATGAATATTCATCAAGTGTTTCACCTTGAATCTGCTATCTTTATCCATGTTAAATTTAAAGCTGTGGGTCTTCTAAATAAGCTCATAGAGAGGGCCATGTAATGTTTTTAATGAAGTTCATCGTGAATGGCTTAGGCATTTTTCCAGCGATGGTGGTCAGAACAAAGTCCCGAACTCCAGAAACGAGTGAGAAAACTTGTGACAGATGGCCAGTTGGAATTCGTGTATGTAACTATAAAACAACTCTAGCCTTTCTGTGACTGTATCATACTGTGGATGTTTGCCTATAAATTTTCTGTATATGCAGAAATGGAGGTTGGTGTATGCATGATGAAGCAACATGCCATTACATAGACATGATCGACCAAACCACTCTTGGGCACATCGTGATAAAGGAAGAGTTCAACAAGGTTCCTCGTGCTGGATGGCAAATTGATCCATTCGGTCACTCTGCCGTGCAAGCATACTTATTCGGTGCTGAGGTTCTTGGTTTCCGTTATCTCTAATCCTAAAGTTTCTCCACATTCCCTTCATTTTCTGACCATATATTCACTTTTCTTTGATGGAATTGACATGGCCACTTTTTCTTCGAGTGGCAGATCACCATCATTGTAGTGCGACAATTAGAACTTACAAGTTCCAACACATAGATGTGGACTTACATGCTTTTATTTTTCAGGTTGGTTTCGACTCTGTACATTTTGCGAGGATTGATTATCAGGATAGAGCACAGCGCAAGGTAGATAAATCTCTAGAAGTTGTATGGCGTGGCTCCAAAACATTTGGTTCTTCATCTCAGGTGTACTATAACACATCAAATTTACTCTCTTCTTTATCCTACAATGCACATTCTTTCTTGTTATCTGCTGTTGCATTTACATACTTATTTTTGTGCTTACTGTTCGGTTTCAGATTTTTGCAAATGCCTTCCCTGTTCATTACAGTCCTCCTCCTGGTTTTCACTTTGAAGTGAATGACGACACCGTTCCTATTCAGGTATAATGTTTATGCAGGAAAGACTACTCCAAATCCTTAGTAACAAACACATTGCTTCTTAATTAAAGTGACAAACAATTGCAGGATGATCCTTCACTCTACGACTACAATGTGGAACAGCGGGTTAATGATTTTATTGATGCTGCTCTGACCCAAGTAAAGTCTCCATTTGATGATGTTCATTCTGATTCTAGGCTTCGGGCAACTAGACGTGAAAGCAAACATTGGTTAATTGCTTGCACTGTTGTTTTATGTAGGCAAACTTCACCAGGACTAATCACATAATGTGGACAATGGGTGATGATTTCCAGTACCAATATGCTGAGTCCTGGTTCAGCCAAATGGATAGATTTATTCATTATGTTAAAAAGGTGTGGTTGAATTGGAAAAATCAATTCACTTTTGGCCTGTGTTTTGCATTCTGATTATTAGGTCACTGTTTTTCACTATGTTCTGTTGATTTGGGAATGCATAATTTACCAGGATGGTCGGATTAATGCTCTGTATTCTACACCATCCCTATATACTGATGGAAAAAATGCAGCAAATGAATCATGGCCATTGAAAACTGATGATTTTTTCCCGTGAGTTACAACATTCTTCAAGTTTAGATTGTTCCCCCCATAGGTGAAGCATAATATTTTTAGTATGATGTTTAATTAATATGCTTCCACATGGATAATAACAGGTATGCGGATCATGAGCATGCATACTGGACCGGCTTCTTTACTAGTCGCCCTGCCTTTAAAGGATATATCAGGATGCTGAGTGGATATTACTTGGTATGTCATATGGGTAGCTGAGGATTTTTTTAAGAAGTGACTAAATGCTGTACTTTAAGTCTTGGAATGTCAACGATCTCTAATACATTTTATTGGGCTCTTGAATATGGTTACTGAAGATCTTCTATTGAGATTCCAAGCAGAATCTGAATTTCTAACTCATTTGTCTTTTACTTGCTTGGTAGATTTTTAAAATCTGTATCGGTTAAATAATCTTTTGTTTCATATTAGGCAGCACGACAACTCGAATTCCTTGTTGGGAGGAAATCCATCGGCCCCAATACTTTTAGTCTTGGCGATGCTTTGGGGATTGCACAGCACCATGATGCAGTAACTGGTACTGCTAAGCAGCATACTACAAATGACTATATGAAACGGCTTGCTGCAGGATCCTCTGAGGTCGGTTTCATACTTTTTGCTCGAGCCAGCTGGATCCTATGATTGCATTCTAGTTTACTCTTTTATTTTTCTGGTAAGCTAATATGTTTTAGCTTTTAATCTAAAGACAAATGGAAGCTTTTGCAGGCAGAAGCAGTGGTGAATTCTGCCCTGATTTGCCTGGGACAAAATAAATTGGAAGATCATTGTGAGAAATCAAAAATACTAAGTCAGGTGATGCTTTGTTGTTGCTTGGATTTCTGATTTTATTTAGCAGGTTCATATTTTCCTGAAATTTTTTCTTCATTTTCTAGTCATTCGGATTTTTTTTTCTCATTTTTACCTTGCGATTGATGCACTTTATGACTTTTGCAATTCCCTTTATTTTTTGTTAAACAGTGTCCATTACTCAATATCAGTTTCTGCCCACCGACGGAGCAAGATATTCCCAATGGAAATAGTTTGGTAATGTTCCTTTTCTTTTTCAATCTACTGGAAATGCGCTCTTCAAAATTTTGAACCATATAATGTTAATGAGTAAATGTGCATGCTGTCAGGTCGTGGTGGTGTACAACCCTCTTGGTTGGATTCGTAATGATATCGTTAGAATACCAGTGAGTAGATACTTACTTTTGCTTTCTCGCTTCACATTACAGACAATTTAATGATGTGGATTATTATTATATCATCATGGACCAAAGCACACGCCAAGAATTAGACCTTTTAGAACGGAGGGAAATATGAATGGGAAGAGAAAACGACAGAAATTATATAGAGTTTATTCGGTTGATGTAATCTGAAAATGAAAACTTTCATCAGGTTCATGATGCTGATCTTATTGTCCAAGATACCTCAGGCAAAATCATTGTGACGCAATTTCTTGCCATCGATGAAGTCACGAAAAACATAAGCGAGTTTTATGTGAAGGCCTACTTGGGATTTCCAAGGGGACAATTTCCCAAGTACTGGCTTCTGTTTCAAGTATCAGTTCCTCAACTTGGATGGAACACGTACTTTATTTCTAAAGGAAGTGGTGGAGGTAGATATTTGATCTTCTATCCCTGTCTGTATCTCTGTCTTTGTAGTCAGTAAGAACAATGGATGTCTTTTGAACTCGAATTCGAGAGTCATGATATCTCAGCTCTTGTGAATTATTCACTTTTTTTAGAGCCAAGTTTCTTTGAAGTGTTCTGGATCTTAGGTGTATTCATTTGCTTAAAAAATCCCAGAATTTTTTTTTTTAAAAAGAAAACTATATGAAACTTCTAATTCACTTTTGTGCCAAAATCATTCAGGTAAAAGAAGATCCGGATTTATTCCAGCAGGCAGACGGAATGATACTATTGAAGTTGGACCTGGCAATTTGAAGATGTCCCTTTCTATTGCTTCTGGTCAACTCAAACGCATGTACAATTCAAAGACTGGGGTAAGTTGTCTCACCGTTTCCAATCAAAGTACTTTTAGTATTAAAATGTCTATTAAAAAACAGTTGGTATAAGATAATACGAATTATGAATTTAAAAAGTACTTCATTCATCTTATACGGTTTGGTTGATTGATTTTATGCATTCTGTTGGTTCCCATTACATGTTTAACTTAACTATTGATTAATCTTGTGATCTTATCATAAGTGATATTTGCTTGGTTTTTGTTTGTCTTTAGATTTTATGTTCTTTCCTTACAAAATCAACTGAAAACTTTCAATGAATGAGCATCCTATTTATAATTCACTTGGCGTTATGGAAAGTTTTCGGGTTAACAATCTAATTGCTTTTTATATTTGATTCTAACACTTAGTTTGGTTTCGTTCCACTTGAGTTAAATTGGAATGATCTTTTAGTTATTATCTTAATATACTAGGTTGATGTACCAATACAACAAAGCTATCTTTGGTATGCTTCATCCACAAAATACGATCAGGTCTGTGAGGCTATTTAAATTATGATATTTCATGAAATTGAAATTCGGCATCTACTAATATGCCTATTCCATAATTTCTTGATGTAGAATTCTGGTGCATATATTTTTGTGCCTGAAGGGGAACCGAATATCGTTTCAAGATCAGTAAGCCTTATGTATCCCTGTTACTTTTATGTGTAATGTGCATCAAGTTTCCAACTATCCTGTGTTTGTTATATTCCGAACTTATTCTTTTTCTTCATTTTTCTTATGGAACTCGATAGGTTCCTGTGGAGGTCATTCGTGGATCTCTAGTTGATGAGGTCCGCCAACAATTCAGTCCGTGGATCTACCAGGTTGCATATAAAAGTAGAATTAATTATAAAAGCAATTGTCCATTTGGGTTCATATCTGCTAATGGCCTAATATTTGAGAATATGGTTGTGCATTAGGTCATTAGACTTTACAAAGACAAAGAGCATGCTGAATTTGAATTCACAGTGAGTCTATCTAGAAACTTTATCCTCAAATTGCCTGACTTTTCATTTCCTATTTGAAAAATTCCAAAACTGGTGATATCTTAAGCGTCCAATTGAATGGTTCTGGTGATTTTCTACTCTGAAGGTTGGTCCAATTCCAGTGGATGATAGTGTTGGAAAGGAGATCATCACAAGAATGACAACAAATATGGTTACGAATAAGGCGTTTTATACTGATTCGAATGGGAGAGACTTTTTAAAGCGGGTATAACATCCGGTTGCTTAAAATTCAGTTTGAAATGTCATTGCAGAACATCTAAATTATTATCTCTCTGGACCTGAAATACAAACCATGTTCCTTTTCTTCTCTCTTGTTCTCCACTATTTCTCTTCTTGCCTTTGGTTGTTTATTGCTCTGATGCTATCTACAAGTATTATTTTCAGGTTCGAGATTATAGGCAGGACTGGAATCTTTCTGTCAATGAACCACAAGCAGGAAACTATTATCCGGTATTGTTCCATGACACGGTTGACCGTGATAAAGCTCATTATTCAAGTAGATATTAAAGGGGTCTTGACCTTTGCTCTATATGTCTTTTCAGCTCAATCTTGGGATGTACACTACAGATAAGAAGACTGAATTATCTGTGTTGGTCGATCGTGCCACCGGAGGAGCTAGCATTAAGGATGGACAAGTAGAGATAATGCTTCATAGGTTGATTTCTCGTGTTTTTTTTTCTTACTTGAAACTTCTATTTTATTTTAGATTTGAAAATGCTAACTCGTCTTTGTTTATAATGTGAAAGACGTACACTCTATGACGACAGTAGAGGAGTAGGGGAAGCTCTTGATGAACAAGTGTGCGTTGGGTACAAATGTCAAGGATTAACGGTATGGTTCTTGACTGGAATGCGATTTCCTTTCTTGTTTAGTTTCTCCTTTACAAGTGAAATGGCTAAGGTTTAATGGAATGCTTTCTTGTAGACTGCATTGCTAGTAACAGATGTGGAAATGTTTCCATTTAAGAAGTTTCATACGTTTTTCATAGATGAAATAAAAAATTCTTAATCTGAATTCGATGCTTTCCACACATCTCATTGATAATCTCTTATCAGGTGAGAGGTAACTATTATGTGAATATCAACCAACTGGGTTCTGGAGCACGTTGGCGCCGAGAAACAGGCCAGGAAATTTACTCACCGCTTCTCTTAGCTTTCGCGCATGAGGTATGATATGATCTTATAATAGTGCAAATAGCATTGGAACTCCCTCTCTTGGTAATATCTATTGTTCTTACAGAAAAAGGAGAGCTGGATTGCATCTAAGGTGACCAAATCAACAACAATGGACCCATACTACACCTTGCCTCTCAATGTTGCCTTGATTACTCTTCAGGTGATCACTGTAGAATCGAGTTCGCTCTCCGCTCTCTCTCCCTCTCTCTAACTATTTGTTCTGCAGGAGTTGGACGATGGAAGTGTTCTTGTCCGCTTGGCACATCTATACGAGGTAAAACAAATATCCCACAAATTCGCTCAATCTAACAACTGAATTTAAACTCGAAAACGGAAGGAAGTTTTCCTCCATTTCACAAGCTAATTAGAACGATTTCGACCATGATTTGTTAAGGCCGGAGAAGATCCTACATATTCAACATTGGCTAAGGTGGAACTGAAGAGAATGTTCTTTGGAAAAAAGGTATGTCAACAACAACAAACTCAAGAGTGCAAAGTAAATGAAAGTTTGAACTTGTTTCCATGGATTATTTATGATTGGTGGGGCTGTGTTTTTTCCTTTTTAAAGATAAAAGAGGTGAAGGAGATGAGTTTATCAGCAAACCAGTTGAAATCAGAGATGAAAAAGAAGTCGTGGAAAGTTGAGGGAGATGACAGATCCAATGAAACACCACTCAGAGGTGGCCCTATTCACCAATCGTCTCTTGTTGTGGAGTTGGGCCCAATGGAGATTCGCACTTTCACATTGAAATTTTGAATAAAAATTTCATCTTGTAATGTAATTTACACAAAATAATAATATCAGCAATGAAGCTTGAGACTTTGAAATCATTGCCTCAAATTATTTTCTATGTTGTATCTATAATACTCGTTTTAAAAGGCACTTGATCAACTAGCTGATGGCATTCAAGAAATTTGTTCTTTACAGAAGGTAAAAGAAGTTATACATTGGTATTATATGATTTAATTTGCAACATTAAGGGGGAAAAATCAAACTATTGGAGTTGTTATAATTGTACAATTTGAACTTTTAATTTGAGTAGTTACTCTCTAAAGTCATAAAATTGTGGTCATTAAACCCTACCATTATAATTCAATCAGTGGAGTATAATTGCAAGAAGTTCAGCAGTTCGAGGGTTAATTGCAATAATCTTATAGTTTAGATGTGGTTTTAGGGTTATCAAAAAAAAAAAAAAAAAGATGTGGTTTTAGGATTTAGATTTTAGAAATTAATTTTAACAATTCTTTTAACTTGGAGTGATTTACGCATATAACAAAATTGTTTTCAAGTTTTTAATTTAAAACTTTTCAATGCAGCATTAACTAAAAAAAAAGATAAAAATTTGATAAATATACTCTTTAATGTGCCAACTCATTTCATTTTTTGTCAAAATTAAAAATATAATATGTTATAAATTATATAATATTGAAAAATAATAATTCTACAAAATCTATAACATATATATTAATAAATTAATTAATATTATATTTTAGATTGAACTAAATATTTAGTTGGTACTAAACTTTAAATATATTAACACTTTCAACTGTTTCCGATCTAGGTTTTCCCAACGCCATCTAAATGTATCCTTAATTTTTTTTTCAGGATGATGGTAGTTTAGTTTGTGTTTTTTTTTTAATGTTTTATCCTTGAAAAGGAAAAACTACAAGATTTGAGGGCAACAATTTGAGGAATATTTTTTACAATTCTTTCCCATAAAATTCTTTTAACTTTATATGTTTGTCTAAGTATTAAATACATCTTTTATCTACTACCCTTAAATTCTTTACAAATAAGAGAGAGAAATATATAAAAATAGATTGTTTTTTTTTTATTATTTAAATTAAACTGCTTTCAAATTTTTATTAACGAAGATAGGTGCTCAATACTCAATAGTATTGCTGGCCCTGGGAAAACAATAAAAAATAATGCTTAATGAAAAAAGAAGAAATAAAGAGGTAAAAATGAAAACTCACAAAGCTTTATTAAAAAAAAAAAGAAAAGAAAAAAAGCTCTGGAGGTGGTACCTTGTTCCTCAAGTTGGGATTTCTCTCTATAATTTCGGCTGCAAGAAGCAGAGTTCGAGAGAGGAAGAAACCGCTGAAGCTGAAGCTTGACAACCATGGCTAGGTACGATAGGGCAATCACAGTCTTCTCACCCGATGGCCATTTGTTTCAAGTCGAATACGCTCTCGAAGCTGTGCGCAAGGGCAACGCCGCCGTCGGTGTTCGCGGCACCGATACCATCGTCCTCGGTGTCGAGAAGAAGGCTGCGCCTAAGCTCCAAGACTCCAGGCACTTTCTCTTTGATCTCTCCTACTTTCATTTTGTTGTCAGTTCTTGTTTGTGGATGGATCTATTTTAATTCGGGAAATGGAATGGATTGGAGAAGGTCTGAGATTTACTGACATCACATTACTTGGCTTATGTATGGTCCAGTGTTTGAGTTTTCTGATTTGTACGTTGATGTGTTTGCTGCACTAGAGGTGCTGGATTTGGATTTCCCCTGCCACGATGGCCGATAGTGTTCTGAGTAACGAATGCGTATAATTGTAGTTTGGCGCTGAATGATTTCGATTTTGACTTCGACGGTGTTGTTTCTTATAATCCAATTCTGCTGGCTGCATGTGATTTTGTTCTATAGAATTAACACAAATTCTGGGCTTTATTCTGGCGGTAATATGTTCAAAACAATCTCGAAAATTGACATATACAGTGGAAGGCAACCGGCATTCATTTAGATAGGAAAGACCATGTCCCATCTTATGAAATGATTTCAATAAATGGTGCCCGGTGGTTTCCCTTTGTGTTATCATTACTGGTTTACTCAATTCGATGGACTGCCTACTTTCTTATACCAAGATGGCCATGTTTTATGGCAATATCCGTACCACAATTTGTACATGTAGGAATATCTTTTATACATTTTCTATTCGGTGAAAGAACCATTACTTATGTTTTCCTTTTGTTTCCAGATCTGTGAGGAAAATTGTGAATCTTGATAACCACATTGCACTAGCCTGTGCTGGACTCAAGGCAGATGCACGTGTATTGATAAATAGAGCTCGTATTGAGTGTCAAAGCCATCGGCTTACAGTTGAGGATCCAGTAACTGTTGAGTACATTACTCGTTACATTGCGGGTCTTCAACAGAAGTATACTCAAAGTGGTGGAGTGCGACCATTTGGGCTTTCAACCTTGATTATAGGTTTTGATCCATATACTGGCGCACCATCACTGTACCAGACAGACCCTTCTGGGACATTTTCTGCTTGGAAAGCAAATGCAACTGGTAGAAACTCCAATTCGATAAGGGAATTCCTAGAGAAAAATTATAAGGAAACTTCTGGACAGGAAACCGTGAAGCTTGCTATCCGTGCATTACTTGAGGTGAGCCCATTAATAGTTCTCATTAGGTTTATCTCTGATATACGTTGGTAAAGTCACTTCAGAAAGCCTGAATAAGAAACCCAAGTCTGACATCTTCTTTTGTTTGATTACTCGCATGATTATGTAAAGTTGTTTTGCTTGCATGTACCGCTGACACAGTATACTGCTTACAATAGTTTGTGAGTATCTTGCAGTAATTTACTTCTTAATTTGCATGTCTCCCATTCTTGGAGTGAAAACTAACTCGTGACTTGCTAGAATTTATGCATTGCTTTACTGCATCAGAATCATGTTGTGCTGCTCTTTTTTTTATCTAATTTTGGAGTTCTGTTCCTAAAATTTGTTAGGAAGCCACTCAACTATATATTTACAGATTTTCCTATCATCAATTTCCTGGATGTACGTGGGCATATATAGACATTGCCATCTTATGTAGCTTCCTGGATGCATGATATAACTTATGGTGGTTCCTATGACTATATACTTGTACTTTTTAATTATTACTAGACTACTGTTATTATTTTGTTGAACAAATGAAATAAAAAAATGAGGAACCCCACAAAGCAAAAGAGTTGGGGGGGCCCGGGGCTGGGCTATGTAATATTAATATATCAAAACGCAAACCAGTAACAGCTGTCAAGAATTAAAAGTCACACAATTACTTTTGTTGTGTAAATAACTTGACATATAAAGATAGGTTGAATTTCTTAAGACTCTTGTGGCTTATGGGAACCACAAATGGTTGTGGTTCTGCTTTGCTTCCTTGTTCCATTTTCACCTTGAAGGCTGGTGTAAGGAATGAGTAATGTAGATTAGATGGTCATGTAAACTTTCTTGTGGATGTTACATCTTTGCACAGGAATGGCATATGCTAAGTCATTGGAAAAACAGTGAGTTCTTTTTTCTCATAAATGCAGGTTGTTGAGAGCGGAGGGAAGAACATAGAAGTTGCTGTGATGACAAAGGAGCATGGACTGCGACAATTGGAAGAAGCTGAAATCGATGCTCTCGTTGCAGAGATTGAAGCCGAAAAAGCAGCTGCTGAGGCTGCAAAGAAGGCTCCTCCCAAGGAAACATAATATCTCATTTCTTCCATTTCTTCGGGAGTTTTTAAATCTTTTACTTTTCTGGTGTAGTGAGACGTGGACCGTTAAATCTTATTCTGAACTTTCAAAAGTTACCATTTTGTGTATCATTGACACGACGTGGTCTCTGAAAAATGTCTGTAATCCATCAAGCCTCTTTCAATGGGATAGCAAAACGATTTGAGATGTATTTGGTATTGTTACTGTTAAAATTTTTCAAATAGGGACCGTGCCAGATGGAGTGGACTAAACGAATTAATATAGATGATTTGAAAGTACAGAGATTAAAGTAAATCAAAGTAAAGAATATTAGAACCAAAACAGTATTTAAACCTTTGTATTAGGTCAGTTTCCAGTGACATATGATCATAAACGTCAATTAAATACAACATTTAACATTTATGATGAATCTTGTCCCATCATCAAAGTACAACGTTTAACATTTATGATGAATCTTGTCCCATCATCAATCTTGTGATGTTGTGTAGTGATTGATTTTAATTCGGTGCATTGTTTGGTAAGATTTTTACTTTGTTTCTTTATTAAAATTAGTGGATGTGTAGTGAAATTGATTCGAAAATAATTCGGTGTATTGTTTGGTAAGATTTTTACTTTGTTTCTTTATTAAAATTAGTGGACGTGCAGTGAAAATTGATTCGAAATAAAAGTTACAGTACTTATTTAGGTCTAGATTTGAAATCTATGAAATTGGAAGTTTTAAAGGCATGGTAAATTCTGAATTTGTAGGAATTTTACCCTAGAAATTATTCTTAATAAAAACAGAATATTAAAAAAAAACAATTTATCTAATTGTCTCTTTTCCAAAATAAAAATAAAAACCCCAAAAAATACAGCCCTAAAAGGCCAAAATGGAGAATCTAAAGTAAAGTCCAAAATCGGAATCCCATTCGCGCTATTAAATCTCATCAATGGAAGACATAATCCTTCTTTTTCTGCCAGCGACGGAGCTCAGCCATGAAAGACGACTATGAGGTATGCGAATTTCTCCCTATTATAAGCCTCTACTTTTAACATCTCATACTCTTCATCTCCTTCATATGTATCGAGTCCCTTCCTTCGCACTTGTGCCTATTAATTATGCGATCTTTCGCCAAAAGTTGAGGTAATCGAGTTATGCCCCCCTCCCCTCCCGTTAGATTTCGCAGTTGCAGTCATCTTAAGGCTATTTTCGTGGTTAGATATACATATTGTTCTGCAACATTAATTGCCTGTTAGAGTTTCTGCTAGGCGGAATTTGGTGGATTTAGATTTAATCTAAAAGCTTGTGCTGATGGGTTGAGATAGATTTAACCCCTTTCAATAATCTCGATAATTTGCAATTTTGCTGGGTAGTGACTAGTAATTTAGTAACAGAATGAAATAATCATGTCCTTGTAAAAGAAATCGTGAATAACCGTTTTCCCGTAAAATTTTTATTTATCTTTAAAGTGGCGATCTTGAGAAGCTATCCATCTAGCTTGTTCAGTGGTAATTTAACTGGGTTAGATGATATTTCCTTCTGAATTTATAACATTTTAGAAATTTCTTTTCTGATTCATAATTTCTGTAAGTTACATTTACTAGATTTTGTTGTTTTTGTACTTGTAGTTCATGATTTTGATACGTTGCTTTTGCCTGAATGTGTTGTAATAATTCTTTCTAGTTTCTACGATTGCCTTTTGTTTCTCAATCCATTTTTTGGCCTCCAGAACATCAGAAATTGTGTCGATGCACAAAGGGCTTAATGTGATTTAAGTTTTGTAGGAAACGTGGTAACAAGCATCAAGAAGCTAGATAAATCTGTGTATCAATTGTTTTGGAGCTATCGGCATCAATACTTGGTGTCCATATGAATAAGCCTAGGATTCACTTTAGGGGCATTAGATCAACTCTGGTATTATGTCCAAGACTGTTCCCATTTCGGGCCGCTGAAGTGTCTGTGTGCCATATTCAATTTTAGCTAGGTCGCCTTGCCATCCATGTTTATGCATTTTGTGCTGTCTTTCTGGTAATAAACATGACAAATTTGCAGACCGAAGAGAAAAAGCAAGCTGCTGCTGATGTATTGTTTCAATATTCAAAATTTGTGATGGCCTGTATTGGTAATCAAGTAAGACCATGTGACTTAAGATTTCATTTGATGAAGGTAAATTTTCTTTCCTTAAGCTTCTCATCTGTAATTGTAGAAATCCTTTTCTTTTTGTTGAGTTTATTTAATAGAAAATGACGGAATAACTTTAGTATTCCCATTTACATTTATATGCAATTGAGAAGAACACCCATTTTTGTCAGAAGTTGCATATTTGATCACTTTGCTATCTTTATCCCTTTGCACTTGAACCTTTTATTTTCCATAAGAACCCTTGGACTTGAAAATAAATACCCAACACCACCTTTGATAGATTCATAGGAGTCTTCCCTTCTGCACCACTTAACAGATCAAAACATAAAAGAACATGATTCCTATTTCTTTACTTGTTCAGGAAATTTCTGGATTACCAACTTCTTTGAAGAGGGAGTCGTCCCAACGAGCAGCTTCTCCCGATGCCATGGGCGAATCGTCAAGCTCGGGTACAGCTAGACTTGATAAAGTAGACAGCTTTAGAGCGCTATAGTTTGCCTCCGACTTGAAGGCCTTCACTGCATTAGGGGTTTGGCTGTGCCTTGTCTAACCTCTTCTCTTCTTTTGTTTAACTCACAATTTCGTTCTCATTAATTGAAGTTTTTCTGTTTGGTGTTTATGACGAGATGGAAACCTTCACTGTTTACATGTATTTGTTTGAAGTTCTGTATATCGAATGCGAGTACATGGGTAATATTATGGATGCTTGGTAATGTTTTCTTTTCCTGTTTTCCGTGTTGTGTTATTATGAGATTCGAACAAGGGACCTAGAAGTTGGAACTTGGGAAGGGCATAGAGGTGCATGAATACCCAACGGGGAATAATTTTGATATTCCACACACATCTATTACTTAATCTAAGACGAAAAAACGAAATTTATGCTTTTTTTTTTGTTTTGCAAACATTTTTCAAATTTTAGAAACGAGAAATAGAATTAGTTACCAAATATGTATGTTTCTTAAAAAATATAAAACGGGAACAAAAGACAAGAAATGGAAACATTACCAAACGGATCTAGACTCATATCTTTATAATGGGTTTTCATTTTATCCCGTTAATTACAAGTTTGCCTAGAAACAAAAGTAAAGTGGTAAGAACCGACCAAGAGGTTGTGAGTTAGATTCTCGACCCCACATGAATAAGAGGAAGGAAATAAATATGTCTTTTTTCCATTAAAAAAAGGTGGAAATTCCTCTCTCACAAGGTATTTTTTTTGTAGGTTATGCTTTCTTAATTTAAAAAAAAGAAAAAAAGAGATGAAAAATTAGTATCTCTTTTTCAAACAAACAAATGTGATTCACTTAAAAGGGGAAAAAAACTCTCTTTTAAAAAAAATTACATCTTTTCCTCAATTCTTTTAATGGAAAAAGTGGGTCCTGAGTATCTCGTTTAGATTATACTATGTTATGGGTAATTTAATCTAATGGACATTATTAATTTTGTCAATTTTTAATGAAAGTTATTGGTCAATGATAAGGAGGATAAAAGAATCCCATAGTATATGGACATAAAAGAAAAAACCGCATTGAAATGTGAAAAGTTTTCCAATAATTGAGCTAAAAAGTGAAACTAGTCATTTAATGAAATTTACATTACTTTTACATAATTATTTTTGTACTCCAACAGTCCAACTAATTATTTATTGATAATTTTTTCTGGTATTGATTTTGAATTTTAAAATTTCTTATATTGATTACTATTACTTATTTATAAGTTTTCTAATGGTATTAATTAAGATGTTATTTTTTAGAATTTCTTGAGCTTTAGATACTTACCATTGCTTTGTCATTACAATTAAAAGAGAAAATATATATATATATATATATATATATATATATATAAATGTAGAAGAGAGATGATAAAGAAATTAAGAGTTTAAATACTATTTTGTTCTTGTATTTTTATTTTTACTTTTTGGTTCTTGAATTTTTATTTTTATTAATTTTAGTTTCTGTATTTTTAAATCGTATGTTTCGATCCATGTACTTTTCAAACATGACCAATTTGTTGCAAGATTTTAACATAAAATTTATACCCATTGAAAAATTTTTAATACAAAATTTATGGCTACATTTTAAAAAATTTAGTGAGTAAATATCATGTTTAAATTATAAAAGAAAGCAATAAGATAAAAGTGAAAAATGAATGGAACAAAATAGAGTACAAAACTAAAACGGGTATTTCTAAAATATTGAGACTGAAGTAAAAAAAAAAAAAAAGTGTGTGAAAGTATTTTAAGCTTAAATTAAGAGAGAGCATGCACCGAATGTTCAAGTGGAGTCCACTCTTACTCAGTCTCCTAATTCCACGAAATTCGGAAATTTTAATGAAATAAATTTCTTACATATATAATTTTAAAAATAAATTATTAAAAAACATATAATTATACATGAATTAGGCGTTTTTTTAGTACATTAATTAGGTGTTGCTGAATTGGATCGCATCAATTTGCGTGAGAATCCACTTAAAAGATATTTTATTATGATTAAAAATTTGTGAGTTTAAATTCTCACTCTATATATTATAAAAAAAAATTAATCAATTGGATTAAACTCATACACATTACTATTATACTTTTTTTCAAGTAACAATTTAGAAAAAAAAAATTGTTTTTAGTACAATTTAAACAAATATTGCTAGAACGTGTTACAATTCTTTAATTTGATTTGATAAGAAACCATGATTCAAAAGTGTCTTAAAATAGTGTTAAAAGAAAGTGTATTGAAATACTTTTTTTTAGACAAGTTTATTAAAATACTATAATATTGTTGATTTTTACTTCTGTTTATATACTGAAAAAAGTATACATTATTTATTAAATTAAGGCTAAATGTATAATTTAGTTCCAAATATTTAAGTCTTTTTCAAAAAAATTCCAGTCTTTTAAAAATTTCAATTTTATCGTTAACGTATTTTTTCCCCTAATCTGAGTAACCATTTCTCACAAAATGTTAAAGAACTTGAAATTAACTAACAAATGATGAAGGTCAAATTACAGTTTAATAATTGAGTTGAAAATTTTTAAATAAAGGTATCACCCATGAAAGTAAAACTTTTTTTTTTTTTGAGAAAAAAAGTAAAACTTCTTTATTTCATATAACTAGCCTGTAGTAAGTTAGTTGACTAGACCTTAAATTCATTGTTATAATTTTTTAGTTTTTTTTTTAATTGTCCTAATAAAATATTGGTATATTAACAATTGATAACCTTGTAAAAATTACCACTTTTGAATGAGAATTTGGAAATAAATATATATATTTTAGATGTAACATTAAAGTTTGAAAATTTTCCAAAAGTAACATTATCACATAAAATAGAACTCAAACTAAAATGTACTAATAAAAGTAACACCTATTTAGTTCATTACGTAGTTCATCATAGGTTTTTGAACTAGTTGCACCAGTTATATCGACAACATATTCTCTAATAAAATAAATGACTTATATTAAACATTTTCTATCGCATCAAAGAAAAAATTGCAATCCCACGTTTGAGATAATTTAGTTATGTCTGAGGTCTTTCAAAAGAAAGCAGCCTTTTCAAGAAGAAAGTTATAGTATATAAAAAACAATATTTTTAAAAATACACATTAAAAAATTTCTCTATTAAAATTATCATTTTATTTAATACTCAATGAATTTGAGGACTTCATTGAAAAAAAATACAAAAAAGGAAGATATTAAAGCTATTAGAAGATTGGGAACCAATTTAAAAAATAAAAAAAAAAATCCAAACGCTAGGAGCTAAATTATTAAATAACATTAATAAAAAAATCTTAAAGAAATAAATTTCTCTATTTTACCTCGAAATTTATACTCCTAAAACTCTAAATTATTTTTATTTATAAAAGAATTCAAATTACGATAAAAAATCAGAGGTTTCCCCCCCTTTTTGACAGCGAAAAATATATAGATTGTAAGGCAAAGGTTCGAACGTGGAAGGTACAACGGCTAGTTGGCACGAACGGTAACCCTCCCAACGGTCGGAAATTCAAAATTCCCCTGATATCATGCCCCTTCCATTTCCCCAACATTTCTCACTCTGAATTCTGAAGCCCCTCCGCCGCTTTCAGTTTCCTCCATCGCTCTCTCTTCTTCGGCTAACTTCCATTGGAGATGCTGCAGGACATGTGGAACGCTCCTCCCGGCTTCAGGCCTTCCAAATCGGCCCCTTCTTCTCCGGCCAAGCCTCTCGCCGCCGTTTCCAGGCTCCGTTCCGAGTCCTTCCATGTCACTCATAAAGTTCCCGTCGGCGACACGCCCTATGTTAGGGCAAAAAATGTTCAGGTAAGTTTTTTCTAGGTCTCAATTTTCGTTTCGCAATTTCAGTTTTGAGCATTCGAGTGTTGATTTCTTGCTCCGCTTGCTCAGTTAGTGGAGAAGGATCCGGATAAGGCGATTCCTCTCTTCTGGGCCGCCATTAATGCAGGGGACAGAGTCGACAGTGCCTTAAAGGACATGGCGATTGTGATGAAACAGCAGAATCGAGCCGAAGAGGCGATCGAAGCGATTAAATCTTTGCGGAATCGGTGCTCTGATCAGGCGCAGGAGTCTCTGGATAATATCCTTCTGGATCTGTACAAGGTTCCTACCATTTCTCCCCCTTTCTTTACTGGATTTTTATGCTTGATTGAACTGAAACTGATCTTCTTTCTCTTTAATTTCATTACGAATTCACAGAGATGTGGAAGATTGGACGACCAGATAACTCTTCTGAAGCATAAATTGTTCTTGATTCAACAAGGTCTGGCTTTTAATGGTAAGCGGACCAAAACGGCAAGATCTCAAGGAAAGAAGTTTCAGGTCTCAGTTGATCAAGAAGCGACTCGATTACTGGTACGACAATGGCGTCTTGTCGTTAACAATTTCTCTCTAAACTTCAACTTTTTATAGTCTGGGGAAGTGTTTTAACTTTGATTTTCGTCTTGATCTTCAGGGGAACTTGGGATGGGCGCTGATGCAGCAGAACAATTATGTTGAAGCAGAAGATGCTTATAGGAAGGCACTTTCAATAGCCCCAGATAACAACAAAATGTGCAACCTCGGAATCTGCTTGATGAAACAAGGGAGAATTTCCGAGGCCAAAGAAAATCTGCGCAGAGTAAAGCCTGCAGTTGCAGATGGGCCAAGAGGCACAGATTCCCACCTCAAAGCTTATGAAAGAGCACAACAGATGCTCCGAGACCTTGAGTCTGAAATGATGAACAGGGGAGGTGACCGACTCGAACAGAGACGGCTCTTCGACGCCTTTCTCGGTTCTTCGTCGATTTGGCAACCTCAGCCTTGCAAGGATCACACAACCTTGCCAGTCACAAATCCCACCAGGACAATCCAAGATGATTTTGCTGATGAGAACATTGATATGAACTTGATACCAAACCAGATGGTTCCTCCTCCTCGACAACATAAATTTATCAAACCAGTTCAAGCTCCTTTGGGGAATTCATTGAATGTTGCTGCCCAACCATTTTTTTCATCAAAATTTGTTACTGAACCAATAACCAAAGTCCCTTTAGGAAACCAATTTCCTGAAGGCCTGAAGAGAACAAGGTCTGGGAATGCAGCCAATTCAATGAGAGTGAATGACATGGTGGAAATAAAAAGGCCATTTTTAGCAGCAGAAACAGGGAGGCCTGAAACTAAGACCAGAAAGCCATCTCCTCCCAATACCTCTGAGGAGACAAAAAAGTTGGCAGCAATGTTGCCAGATGACAATGACTTTGAAGAGGCTATTCTTGCTGCAGTTCTAGGCCCAACAAATGAAGCACAGAAGAAAGCAAGCAATGCCAGCGACACCGTCGCCGGTGGCGGAATGCTTCAGAGGAAGATTGAGAAAAAAAGGCTCAAGGTTTTTCAAGACATTACACTCTCCTTGAGTCCCAGAGCCTAACTGTGTTCTAATTTAACAATTAAGTTTTTTTACCTTTCTAATTTAATTCCTAATTTTTACAGTTCGGGCAGAGGAGATGAACTTGTTCTCCTTTGCAGCAGCTTCTGCAACCAGTCTAGTCTCTACATAAAGCTTATTGTTCCCTACTTATATAATTCTCTCACGTATGCCTCTAATAATATGGGGCATATGATGATAATAATAATTTGTTGTAGTTTTCTAAGCTCTTCTGCGTGTATTAATTTTCTTGAACAGCTCTTTTTTGCCCATACCTTATTAAATCAGAGACATCTTTTACAAACGGGAACAAATTATTCATATTTTTTAACACACACAGGTCACAGAAAGTATATATATATATATGTTTTATATGTTTTATAATAAAATCAGATGAGAGTTGGAAGGAAAGCCACCACCCTCTCAACCCGACACAGCGCTTCTGAATTTCACTATCGCTGCTATGACTGCCACGATTACTGCAGCTCCCAGGATTCGATTTGTCCATTTGCCACTGCTCCTGGGAACGGCGGAAGGTGGAGTGAAGCCTAGCTCAGACAGTTTCTTGTGAGCTGCTGCATAATCCTCAAAAAACTTATCTTCATCCTATTGGAAAGAAAACATAAAAGCTTTCTGAATTAATCTAAACTGTCTTCCTAGTTATAATGTGTTTAACAAATTCATCAGCAGGCCAAAGTTCACCTTTGCATATAGCCTCACATATTGGGAGAACACATGATCCTCAAGCAAGGCCTTGTCGGTAGGAAGCTTCAGTAGTGGTTCCTTGGACCAATTGTCTCCTTTCAGCAATTCCCTGATTAACATTTTGCAGTTGCTGTTTTATCTAAAAGCAATGTAAAACTGAATGCAAGAGAGTGGGAAAATGTTTCTCATTCTCACACAAAGTAGGAGTTATCAAACTTCAGAGGGTCCTTTGTCCATGGGCCTTCAAAATCTGATCTATCCTTGTGAGCTCTTCCCTGCAGAATTAGAAACCATAACTGTGCCTAATGACAAGAAAAGAAACAGACAAAGCTGAAGGTCCAGTTTCTTCATAGGAGTTGAAAGTGTTACCAATGTGTGGCCTCCAGATAAGGCTACAATATCCTTGTCAGTTAGTCCCATCCTGCCAAAGACCTGCCTTAAATGGGACACACCTGCAGTGAAGTTTCGTGTAATGACCATTCAATCATGGCTTCTGCTATGGCTCTAAACAAGAATCGTCAAAAAGGCAGCATAAGTTTTACATCACACCCCAAAAGTTTAAGCTACAGTCACTTGTGGTCTCGAGATTATTATTTGAAATATTTCATTATTTCAAATAAAATATCTATAATTATTTTCAAGGACAGTAGGTTAGTCTATCTAATAGATATGAGAATTCCCTAATCTTTTGATTTTTATTTTTTAGTACAATATCAAGTGACTATCAATATTAATTGGACCATGATATAACATTACAAGAGACTTGAATGTTATAGGTTATAATATAGTTATTCTTGACAATAAATTACCTTGTCTGGCATCTGGAAGGCGTCCTTCTTCTGGAACTGTATCTGAGTCCTAATCCATTGATTTAAAAGAAAAATGAAGTTATTCAACAGCAATGTCAACATCAATCAAATTTCTCGTGTTGATCAATACCTTTCTTCCAGGGACAAAGTCAATGGATGGCCCGCCAGTGACCTCCACTGCAACAACCCCGGCAAGCTGAAATTTTAAAATTTGAGGAGAATGAGCAAAATCTAGGCTGAGATGTAACTTTTTATATAGGTTCCTTCACTCTGAAATTTTCTTATTTTCCTAATGGATTGAAGCGACAAGCGGCAGTAAAAGAAGAACAGACTGCCTTCCATATTTAAAACTTAAAAGTTCCAACACAGCAGCATGAACTTCAGAAACAAAATCATGTCAATCAATGGTTGACAAGTAGCCCAAAAAGGATTTGTTCCATATGAAAGAAACTGAAACATCACCTGGTACAGGTCAGCATATGAGATTTTTGGATGCCTGGCCTTCACTGTTTCTAGTGAGTGACAGAACACAAGTAACAATGAGTAATAAAATATGCAAAAATCTTTGCCAAGCAAATAAAATCAAATTACCAAACCATCATATGAATTGGGACATAGATTAGTTTCACCATTACATCTAAATCTCAAATTTGAAGAAATGGAAAGCTCACCACACAAATCAACTGCAATTTTCAGTCCCTTATTTGCATTATGGTTCAATTCTTCCCTGAATCTGATGGAGCCATCAGGACCTCCAGTTTTCGTAATAGCGTCATAAGTACCAGCATCATGCCACCTGCCCAACGAATGAGTTTCTAAGAATCATTGTAAAGCGATGGAGAAAATAACTCGCAGTTACAACACCCGATCATCTGTCCAATCACTAAGAAAATATTGAAAAACAAAATGCCTAATAATTTCCCGAGCAAATTCAGTATTCAATTTATTTCGGTTTCCTCTGGAAATCTCTCAGCAAGCAGTCAGCACCATAGCTAGAACCAGAACTTACGCCAAACGAAGCATGATAGGAGCGCAGTTCTCCTTGGAGATGAGAGCGCGAAGGTCTCGACGGGCCTTCTCGATTTCCTTGAGGTACGCAGCATCGACTTTGGGAGCCGCCATGGAAGCTTGGTAAGAAAGATGCAGAAATTTCACTTTCTCTGCCAACAAATCGAAGAGAAATTGATAGCATTGTTCGTTGGAGTTCAGATTTTGGGGTTAAATTGAAAGAAAAAACGAATGGGAAAAAGGGAATTGTTGGTGCGATTCTCAGTACAGTACCATACGAGAGCGCCAAGAAACGCATTGGTTCCTTTCCTTTGCTTCCCCGCGGAGGCAGAGAAATGCGTCTTAAAAAATAAAATAAAATAAAATAAAAATAATTTGGATTTTGTTTGTGTTATTGGAGGCACGCGATATTATGGCGCGTGAGAGAAACACGCCCAGGGGTGCAATGAAGTAAGAAGTTAGAGCCCAGAGGGATTCTTTGCTTGGCGCGTGAGTTGAAGCGCGTTGAACTCGGTTTCTTCAGTGTCCGTACTCGTTCGTTTGTCCGGAACTTTGGGCGCCGGAAAGTTGAAAAATTATTCGCCGTTGCTATCCCTTAATAAATGTTTAGAAAATTTAATTTTATGGAGTTTTTTTTAGTCCGATTAATAAGTATTTTAATTTTAGTTTTCTATTTTCAAATTAAACTTAAATACTATTTCTACCATGTGTTTCTTTACAGTGATTATTCACTCCAAAAACATTTTTAACATTTAAGCTAAGAGTGTGAATAGTATTAAAAAAATTTGTTTTTTTTTTTTTAAATTTGATTATGAATTCAAATATTCGGAGAAAAACATACTAAAGAAGTGATGAGAAATAGACAATTTAGAAAAAAAAAATGGTTATCATATAATGTTTTAAAGTTACTTCAGCTCCTAATTTTTTAGAACAGGTTTCAAAAATTTGAATGAAATTTTTCATCAACTACAATTAAGTCGTCTAATTGGATATTTTATTATTATTATTATTTATTATTGATGTGACATTAAATTTAAGAAAAATTATGGAAAAAAAGTTCGAATGGTACGATCCCTCCGTCACCTCAAAATGAAAGAAGTGGTTTTGTAGTTCTTGGTCCGTAAAGATATGTTGTTAAATGCTTCTATTTTTCTATTGACGTCAAACCTAAACCTGTGCTCGAGAGATAGATGTGCATCAATCACATTGTTCGAGTATCACAGTTATTTTTAAGGTAAATTTGTTTAAATAGTAAAAGTATTTATAAATTTTAGCTAAATAAAAAGCACTCTATAAACTGAGTTATAAATATAGTCCTTGAATTATAATGCTTCCCAGTCGTTCAGTTTTTTAATTAAAAAATAATTATGTTTTTTAACTAGTGGTATAACCTCAATTGTGAAATAAATAAATGTTGGTTTTATTTGGTGACAGAATAAAGTAAATTGCTGAACAAAATAAAGTGATGTTTGCGACATTTGTCTCTCCTTGAGATATAGTATCAAATTTTTTCTGTAAACCGCGAATTAAATAAGACATATCAACCTAAGAGGTTTACAAAATAGTTTAAAATAGAGAAATAAATTGTTTGTGTATGTAAATCAAAACTCGAAAAAAATGGAAATAGGAGATGTGGATACAGTGAAAGATTTACGCACACATACATTTTTTCATTTTGTAAATCAAAATCTTCTGATAAAATTGGAAACGAGAATAAGTAACAAGTCAACGTTATCAAATTCGTCTTTGTTGGTATGTTTCTCAGTCCAATTTATTTTTATTATTATTATTATTTAGAGTTTTAAAAAACACAACTTCTTGGTAATTGTTTGAATGGTTTGTGTCTCCGTTTTTATAAATATTTTTAAAATGGTGTAAAAAATTTTAAAACAAAAAATCAAAGTTTTGGTTTGTTATTCACTCATCCTGTTACCAACTTTTTTTCAAAACATAAGCAAAATGCATAATAAATATTAAAAAGTAAATACAACGTAACTTTTACTTTTTTTCATAATAAATATTAGAATGTGAGATAGTAGTTTACTGGTGTTATGGAAAAAAAAAAGAAGAAAAATAACGAAACACGTAGAATGATAAGAAGAGCTGACCATAAGTTGAGGTATGAAATCTCACACCCATTTTTCGAAGAGTAATACATTGGCCATAAGAGATATCTCCGTCATAAACTACCTCGGCCTTCATAGATAGCTTGACACGTGGTATCTTGACCTCAAATTATCGCTTAGTCAAAGATAAGCTATATTACAAAAATACTCAACCAAGTAAAAGGTACAATTCTCTTCACCGAATTTTCATAGCTCAACGTACGTTGTCGAGCCAACATGTAAATATTGCCTCGTCCAACCTATTCTTAACAAACGAGCTGAGCCTCAATAATGTCCGCATGCACAAACCTCTAACAAAATTTCAGACAATGCACTGTGATTCATGAACAATCGAAAAAGCCTGTTGAATGTCTTGTCGAAAGCTCGTAAACAGAGCCTCCCTTCTCATTTTTCAGGTATGCGAAGCTATTCTCTCTCGAGTAATAGATCAAGAGAAAATAGATCAAACAAAGAATACTAATTACTTGAGCATAGAAGTTTCTACTTTCTTCTTACAAGTGTTCCTGCACAGGTCGACAACCTAAGTTCAAGCCTCGTGGAATTTGATCAACTTCTTGATTAAACAACTAGATTTATAATCCAAAGTTAAAAATTTCACCATCCGTATTTAGGCTTATTAATATCAAAATATTAAATAAATAGAATGTTTGTCTCATATTTTAAAAAGCTTAGATTTGAGTACCCTAAAATTGATCGTGGTTTGCTTCATAACAAAACAATTAGAATTAGAAAGATCCCGGGCTCGATCTGATTTAGTATAAGGTGATTCTCTTTCTGTTTCCGTCACGGAGACTATTGATGGACGTACATTCTTCACGTCAAGTTGATTGAAATAAGGGCAACTTTTTTTATTGTAGCCAAGGCAAGAATGCCAAGAATGATGATCATTTTAGCGGGTAAATGTTTCTCCTATCTTTTAAGAGGGTCGACTCAAGATTTTGGAAGGAATCCTTTAACTAGCTTTGTATCTCTCTAGCGAGCCCTAAAATTGAATGGTATGTGTTAAAATTATGTAGATGTAAAAGTTTGGATTTGTACCAATTAAGTTTAATTTTGATTTATGGAAAGCAATATATAGCTGGAAGGATATATTTTACAAGGCCGAGTCTAAAATAGTTTATAGAATTATATAGTTATAGTTTAGATTCAATTCAATTTCAAGCTATAATCTCAATAAGATATGTTGAAAAAATTACCTAAATCAACTGACCAAGTTGATTTGAACTATACTTATCAACTAATTCATTTAGGGTTAGATAGTTTTTGTTGATCTCAATCGTAGTGTTTAATATCAAGGATGAAATTATCGATGTCGATATTGATAGCCCAAATTTACAGAGAATGGATATTTTAGAAAAAATTACGGATATTTATAATTCTGTGAATTTCTTAATAAAACTTTAAAGAATGCTTATTTAAGTAATAAACTATCATTTTAAGCATACATATCACTATCATACTCATTAATCTAAAGTAGATAGTAAAAAGTAGCGAATGTCAATAAATCAACTGATTAATAAATAAATAATGTCAGCTCAAATCAATACGTTGTTTTGTATTCTTTGAGTTATAGACAATGATTTATATGTTATCAATAAATACATAGGAAAAACAATGAAGGAGAGGTCGAGACAAAGATTTTTAATATAATTTTTGTATAAATTTGTGACCTAAATTTTTAGCTTAACCCAAAAACTCACTGTGAAACTAAGTGGGAAAAACTAAAGCTTAAAAAGTAAGCAGCAAATCACATGATTTACCAATATATCGCCGATATTTCGTTCAATATCGGCGCTATTTTCATCCCGGTTGATCTTATGTATATTATTCAATTTTAAAAAGTTAAATTTCATTCTTTATTTTTCATTTTCTTAACCCTGTATAAGTATTTGACCATTTTGGCCAAAAATGGAGCTGCTTAATGCTCATACCCTGCACACAGCTCAATGGCCTTGGTAATAGAGGAAAAGATGAAAGTGGAATGACACGTGGAGCTACTGTTTTGGAGGTTTGATTATAATAAAAACAAGTATTATTATGCGTTTTCCGTTACAGTAATTTGATAGGAACAGGTAGGACGATTTCGTCTTTTCGATACGGTTATAAAATTACAGGCTCTCTGCCCAACGCCCATTGTCTCTCTGGGCTGCATCTTAAACCTGAACCCTCCTCTGCCTCTGCCCACCACCACCTAAGTACATACTTCCAACCCCAAACCTTTTCTTTTTCCTTTTCCTTTTTTCTCCTTTTTATAAAACCATTTTCCTAATAGTTTTTTCTTTTTAAACAAAATTATTTATTTATCTGTGAGGTGGCCTGGGCGAAGCTCTCTGAGGTTGAAATGGGTCAAATGCTAGTCTACGAGAGTGAGAAAAAAGGCACCGGCTTTGCCAGCGAGTAATAAGGAAAGAAAGAGAGTAGCTTTTTAGGCACGAGTTTGACAGTGGCTGAACCACCACCACCACCAATGGAAGATCTGCCTTTCTGGTGAACTTCACCGGAATGTGGGGATCGGCGGAAGATCGGAAGCAGAAACCCGCCGGAGATTTTTTCTGCTTTTGAAAAGCTCTCTTTCACATTTTCTCTCAGTCCGCTTGAGATGGGTTGCTGTTACTCTAGACTAGAGAGAGA